ATTATATAGTCACACAACATAAATTTGAGATCGTCACAAAGTGATAAATGTGATAAAGAGAAATTCCACCATGCTTACTGTAATAAAATGAATAAAGGTGTAAGCCAAAAAATTTTTGGTCCTTGTATAGTATGTGGTAATCAAGATATATATTATATAAACTCTATATTATATGTTGTTAATTATATAAATATAATTGGATTTTGGTGAAAATAAGCTGTGAAATCAACCCCCTTGTCAATCTAATCAGTCCTGATGAAAGAAAGAAAATTTTTAGAAGAAATTTCCTTTGAATTTAGACAAGTAATAAAAATAAACAAATTATTATTTCAAAATTAATAAATTTAAGGGTAGGCTCCATGCAATAAAGTTACACATATGTTAATTAGTGCCAATCGCGGGATTTTAAATTTTTAAGAATTCAAAAAACTTATGACTAGTACAAGTCTTTAACCAATCAAACAAAATTTGCAAAAAAAACTTCCTTGATTTTATTAAATATGGTATTTATATTATGAAAACATTTTTTGTACTTTTTATACTCTTTTAAAAAAGGTTTATATTAAGTAAAAAAAATTTTTGGTTGCTCATCTTTTTTGCATTCTGCTCATTCTGCCATTACAGAATTTTATTGCACCAAAATTTGCAAAAAAAATTTTCAAGTATTTGCGAACAAAATATTCTTAATCATAGATTTTTTATCCCTCGTTCCTAAACCTTGTTTCTATAAATGGAAATTGTTTAGTTGACAAAAATAGGGATGGTAAAGATCTACATCCCGCATAATTTACTTTATATGTGTTACACGTGGAGCCTACCCTTAATAGCATAGTAGAAATTTGAAATGTTACACTAATTTTTTATATTGTGCAGCATAGCTTTACAATACACAGCAAACATTCTGGCAATAAAAAGTAAGTGATAAACTGGATTTGAATTGGATCTGAACTTGATCTCCAATTTAGAGAGGTAACAACTATATACTGGCGAAGTTTCAGAAGCAATGAGTTCTGTATAACGTTTCGTGTAACAACAAACTTCCACTATGCTACCCTTAATAAAAATTGAAATGTTGCGTGCATGATTTTCATTGGTTAATTTCACTTGACCAATGATCGGATTTTATCTATGCTGACCTGAACTATGTTTGATGATCAACCTTTGTGACCAACCCCATTAAATTACCCTTCTAATTTTCAAAAAAAAAAGGATGTTAAACAAATAATTAAATTTGAATGGTCTTATTATCATAAGTAAGGATACTCAAGATATGAAAGTAGTATTTTGATTATAGAAGGGTATGTGAATGCCTAGAGATGAATAATCTCAATTCAGACATTCTCAATATGTATGGAAATTAATTCTTTTCCACATTAACTTGCATATTCAGTGGTTGATTTGTCAAGGAAATTATTATTTAGTCTACAGTTAAATGATGAATTATTGTTATGCAACCATAAAAAAAAAAAATCAACATAAACATCAATTAATGAGTAACAATACTATTATCAATAAACATGTATATCATTGCAAAAATAAAATGATGAGATAGAAATTAATTTTTACATTGATTATTATTATTATAATATTTGCTTTTTTTTTTTTGAATATAGATTTCAGCCACATAAGTACAATTATCATTATCATTTCCCTGAACAGTTCATCATCATAATCTTCTTCCCTCGTTCTTGTTTGATTATATATAATGCTTACATAAAGGTTCTTTAAAATCAGCCATCTCTCCAAGGAATGGAATTTGGTCTAATTTATCAATAGTATGGTCAATATTATCTTTTTGTGAAATGTGATGTTGTTATCTGATTTTAGTTCTGCTAACCTGATAATAACATGTTAAATTCTTTAAGAACTTGCTTAAGATGTAATTTAATTGGTATATTATTTTTAGAATTAAGTTTTTTTTCAAGTGTTGTCCAACTCCTAAACTTCTTAATTATTTGACCATCTTTATCATTTTCTTCTTTAATTAATTGATCCTAACCAGTCTGTAACAACTATATATAGATTTCAACTTAACACAAAATAAACTTTATTAAAACATCATCCAATTAAATAAATTTATTTTTTATTTATAGTTTGTAAGTATCATATTATAAAACAACTTTTACAACACAAAATAAACTTTATCTTCAACATCATCTAATTAAATAAATTTATTTTTTATTTCTTTATAATAACCAGCTACTCTTGAAGTGAATTCACAGTTTCTCAATTGTGGTGTTTTGTTTTTTGATGAATTCAGGAATTTCTTCTAATAAAAAAACTAGATCTATGCCACCTTTATTAATGTTTTGATCCATAAATTCCACATCATATTTTAAATTTTCTAAATTATAATATAGTGCCATGAATCCATTAACACCATAGCATACATAAATATATATAAATATGAATATGAATTGGAAATAATGATATTGTTAAGGTCAATCAAATGATTAAAACAAACTTACTGGTTTTAAGAGATTCAGGATTTTGAAATAAATGGATTGGTACATCAAGAAAAATTAACTAAATATATGTTATACTTGTATGAAAGACAACAATCATAACAGGAGATGATGATGCTTTAAGAAATATTGAGAATTTGTTATACTAATACTAATTATGAAAAAATTGTACAACACAGTTCTAGAAAATTTATATAAAAAAAAAGATGCCCTTTGATAATAAAAAACCATCACAAAATTTGGTCGAAATTGCAAAACAGGTAAAGTTCATTATAATAATAATATCAAGCTCTAAATGAATAAATGAATTCAATTTGCTTTAACAATTTTATATAAAAATCTTTTTAAAGGCCAATAATGTAATTGGATTCCTTGGTTCTCCTACTCTAATCTATAATAATGAACAGTAAGGTTTTTTTTTTAAAAAAAACCTGTTGAAATTCCAACCTTTTAAATTTATCACTAAATTACATTTGAATTCATAGCATTAATGTGATCATTGAACACTATAATATTTCAAATTTGCCAATGGATTTACAAAAATGGACTTTTGAATTAGTAAAATCAAATATAAAAAAAATGTAGGCATTCCTTTCATAGTTAATGAAAAAAATTAATAATAGTATTTAGAATGCATTTATTTTATCTAAAATAAAAGCAAGTTATGAAAATTCAAACATTGGTTGGAATTCAAGAGAAAAACTTCAAGAAATGCATGAAACTGGTGCAAATTATCTGATTGCCAGAAATACACAAAAAAGAATAAATAATGATAGCAGTATATTTGGAAAAGATTCAAATAACATAGATAATAATGATACACCTGTTGGATTTTTGTTATTCCAATTTACTTGGGAAGAAACAATGGCTGATGATAAACAAATTGAAGTTATATATTGGCAAGCTTAATTTTTGGACTTATTTCATGCAATTACATACACAATAACAAACACACACATACACGCATGTAGTTTCAAGTTATATTAATAATAAATTTTTTAAACAAATGTATAGTTATGAACTCCAATTAGAAAAAGAAGCTAGAGGAAAAGGATTAGGAAACTTTTTGATGAGAACAATGGAATCTATTGGAAAATATTGGGGAATGAAAAAAAGCATGTTGACTTGTTTTCAAGGTAATAACAATAATTATTACATATAATAATGATGAGTCAAAATAATTGTTGATAACAATTTATTGTTTTAAAGAAAATAAGATGGCATTGAATTTTTATTGTAATCATCTTGGGTGAGTGAGCTATATTTTTTTCAAATGATATTTTTGTTTGTTTTTTTTTTTAATTTCAAAGAATTTTATTATTAGTTATGAGATAGATGAAATATCTCCTAGTAAATGTTTAGAACCAGAAGAAGCCGAAAAATATGATTATGATATATTAAGCAAAGCATTATGATTCAATAAATACACATGTGTATGTTGTGTGTGCAAGTAATGTTTAGGATAAATGATGACTGTTAAAATAAAATTTAGAAAAGAAAGATTATTTTTTTCAATTTTCACTTGATAAGTTGACAAATGGAAAGAAACAATGATTTCAAAAATCGTTTCTCATTTATTTTTTTACTATCTATTGTAATACATTATATACATGCTGGCCTTTTTGATATATATTTCTGTTATTATGAATGTAATAGTTTATAATGAATTTTTTTATAAATTAACTTCTGCAATATATTGTGTTAATGCTGATTGCCTTTCAACTAACTTGAAAGGAATTGCATATTCGTCCAATAAAGTTTTTGCTCCGAAAATTTGTTGATTGAGTAGTGATGTTGATTCGATTTTATTTGGCAAACTCCGAGAGGCTGCTCTAAAATTGTAATCATCATCTGGGATTTTTAGTATATCTTGTAGAATGTCATATTGTATTTGTGCAATCTTTAATTCTGAATGATATTTTTGTAATATATCAAATATGTTTTCATCTAGATTCAATTCTTTTATACTTTCAACTAATCCAACTGCATGACATAAATAATGCAGTCTATCCTGTAATGATATATCGTTCCCAGGCTTTAGTGCCAAGAATTCTTGAACATTGGCTGCTTTGAGATATTCATGATGTTTTGCACAGAAATCACAATATAATTCTAATTTTCTTCTTGAAATAATTGATAATGGTGATGACTGATCATCATCAATTGATGTAAAATATTCTTCAAGGAATGGTGCAGGCGGATCAAAAAGCAATTGCATCGAATTTGTTATCAAGAATTCATCATATAAAGCAAAAAGAAAATCCTTGTCATTTAATGATGTGGCAAGATTAAGAGTTTTTTGAAGAAGTAGATTATATTTTTGTAATTGTGGTGAAGAAGTTGTGAAGGTGATAGAGTCGGCAAAAACATCTGCATCTCTTAATGTCTTTATAAGAATTTCAATAATTGAAGTTTTTTTATCAGGTTCTGAATTTAAAGTTTGTGCTGCTTTTAATAATAGTTCTAATGCACCTTCATAAAATCCTAGGTTTTTATATTCTTGACACAAATTAATCAGATTCCCATATGTTAAGACATTAATAGAGTCATTAAATAATTTAAGAGAATTTTTCAATGCCTTATCTTTGGAAAGTTCATTTTCACTTTTTTTTGCTTTTTGAAGAGCCTCATAACCTCGATACATTTTTGCTTCAGAAGCATTAAAGAAAGTAGAACATCTAATTTCCAAATTTCTGGTGAGATTTTCGTGTAAACTGCTTTCTTTTTTAATGATCACCAACACCAAATCATGCCAACTATTTCTTACTTGTTGAGCAGTCACTAGATCTTCATAAGTTGAATCAAATAATAATTTTTTTGAACTTTCTGAAATGTTGGTGATTATATCAGATAAATCATATTCAAACATTAATAATACAAATGAAATTGCATCAGCCATTATAATCATCAAATTAAATAGAATAGCTATTGGATTATTTTGTGCAGTAGTAGTTGTTGTTGCTGAAAAAGAAGCAGAAGTGTTGATTTGAGATGACAATGTTATATAATCAAAATGATTATGGAAAAATGCTTTTAATTTTATTAATTTTTGATGCACATCATTAAGAACTTCTGATGTCACATTTAGATCTATTTTTCCTTCAATAGCACCAGAACTTGTAGATTTCACTAGAGACTTTTTAAGAATCCTTTGATTCCAAACAGGCCTCAGAATTCTTGATAGACAGAATGCCAAAGCTTCTTGTAATTGAGAAGAGTTTTCTTTGAAATTTTGTAGAAATTGGTGACTTTGATCATTTCCTATTAAAAAACACATTGCACATGTTTGTTCAAGACCATGATTTCTAATAAAATCCTTTAAAAGATTTTGTTGATTTTTCAATAGTATTTCTTTCAAATGTTCAACAGGTCTTTTTTTAACCCAAATTTGAATTCCTGCTGATGTATATATAAGAAATTTTCTTTGGGGAAGAATGAATTGACCAATTAAGTCATTTGAGTATTCAATGAAATTTTTTGGATTATAATTAAAATGATGGATTTCTTCCATGGCATAAATATTTCTAAAAGTGACTGAGAAATAGTATTCTGAAAATGTAGGATCCTTTTTCTGAATAAATTTTAGAAACATTGCACCATGATTTGGAGAAGTGTAAGTTAAGTAGTATGATGAATTGTTTCTATTTAAAGCAAAATAATTCCCATGAAAATAATTAAAGCTTTGATAAACTTTTTGATGCTGTTGAAGTCCATGTGGCAGCTGGTGCACTTCCACCAAGAATAAACCATTTGGTTCTGTTGATTTTTGTGAATCAGGATGCAATCTACTAAAATCTCTATGACATGTAAAATAACCACGATAACCTACACTAGTGACAGCCATCAACCAAAAATAACGTGAATTGGTATTATATGTTGGATGTATTGAAACAAGTTTACCTTTAAGTGATGGACCACCACTAACAGCATCCTTTAATGAATAAGAACCTACAGACTTTAAAGTTTTGCCATCATCTAACATATGATAAGCTTCAATGCGATTGGTAGACATGGCATAAACCATCTTGTGAGTATCATCAACAATACAAGATTTAAAATTAGAAAACCCACCATTAACAAATCTTAGTGTTGAACTAATAAGATTGAGAGAGTGAATTTCTAATCTGCAGGGTTTATTGAACCACCCCTCATCATCATAAATCAATTCACATAATTCACCATCATCTATCAAAAAAATTCTACCATTGTCAGTACCAACTATTGAATCGATTGATCTTCCACTATAATCAGATATGTATTTTAATGAAGACATGTCATGAAAAGTTATTTCCTCATTGTTCTCTGTAGCACTCAATCCAAACACATATACTGATTTGTCTGTTGCTATCACTAGTACATATTGAGCATTATCAACCCAACGACCAGGTCTAGGCTTGACAAGGCCCACACTTTTTATTTTCTTGTCTTGTTGTGGATGAATATCTATATGACCAATGGCTGCTTCATTGTTACTATTACTATTTTCATAATCCCAAATAAATAAATTATAGTCGAGAACAAAATATACAAATTTTGTATAAGGGAAACATCCGAATAAACAGTGTACATCGACATTTTGTTGAATGTTCTCCCAATCCACGATCTCTTGCAAACGTAATGGAAAAGGGATCCGTTTTTCTTGTGTGAAGGGAAATAATTCCTCCTGACTAATATCTTTATAACGATCTTGTGCAGTCCTTTCAGATACTTGTTTAAATAAAGTTTCTAAATATTTATTGTCTATATTAATTTTTGAATTGATTAAATCCTTTGCCGACATTGTTAATGATGATGATAAAAATTTTTCGCGTGTGTAAAATAAAAATGATTTTAAAAATTGTCCAATGACGATCCTAATTTTCATTATTCAACTAGTTGGTACATCATTTTATACGTAGTAATAGGGAAAAACAAAATTACAATATATCTTGGAACCTCTCTCCAATAAGGAAGTAAATAAAATAATTCGATTTCAGCTATAATTTTTACCATCTCATTACTAAATAGACCAATTAACAAACCCACAAGTCACAACTATAAATGAGAATATAAACTATTAATATTGCCAAGTAAAATCCAAATACTTCATTATCACCTTTCAAAAAAAAATTTTTGAATAAATTATTATAATTACACATAAACACACTGATGATTTTTACCTCTAAGGAAATTATACATTGCTATAGTGCAGGACACCTAGTCCCTACAACTTTCTGCGCCACAGCAACAGATTTGGGAAAATTTTCCCAATCAAAAATGCAATAAAATTTTTACGGTCACGTGTTTTGTGAAGGTTGTCAAAAATAGGTTCTAATTATTAATATAATGATTGATTTTATTAGATAATTAAATCTGTTTTTTAAAGTAACAATTATATATATATATGTCACGTGCACTCTCTTTATTAATGTCACGTGCTAAAGGATCTGCAATACAACTTTCAAATTTTTTTATTCTTCCAATTCGTTCATTTTTAATATAAAAAATTTGCGTGTAACACGTCACTTTGGGGATTAACATAGTAATTTTGTTAAACTTGTGCAAACTTTAAGGCTTAATTCCTCCATAACAACATGTCATATCAACAAAATGAAAATGTCATTTTGTAGAGAAAAGTCTTAGCTTCAAAATGACATCTTGTTTTTTTGGTCACACATTTCCATTTTTGGAGATGTTAAAGGATCTGCAAGACCAATAAAAGTTGTAGGACTAGATGTCCTGCATTATAGTATTGAAGGAAATTATGAAAACATATTGGGTAGAATCATCAGGTTGTTGAACAAAATGGAGCATGCTGCAACAAAACTGGACAAAGTGAATATTTTCATTTTGTATTACCAAGAATTACAGGGACCAAATTAGTGTAATTGTGATGAACAAGCTTACTATTACAGTATTACACAGTTAATGTTAATCCCTCTACGAAAATGTGATTAATTGGTGATTGGCTATACAAATATATAAAAGATGGGGGAAAAGCAAGCACCACTTATAGATTTTGATTAGTCTATAATTGCTGATAATGGTATTCCATGAATTATAAAAATACCCATTATAAATAATACTTCTGTTCTGTAAATAATATTAATGAGGATCACATGCATTGTAAAATGATCTTGTTGATAGTTTCTAAATTGAGGTTAATATGAATGTAAAGGATATATTTAGAAGGTTATGATGTATGATTTTATGCTTAATTATATTTGAATCTGAGTGCTGTTATATCTTATAGATATTTCTCTATTACCCAGATTTGAGGAGAGCTTAGCAAAGTGAAGTTTACTGGCAATCTAGAATAGGATTATCACTTACTTTAGTCTTGTCTTTATGACCTTGACATTAATAGTAGGACTTTTTGATTTATAATAATTGGGCATACTACAACAAAACCAGACAAAGTGAACATGATGACACAAATTATAGGGATTGTTCTTTTAAAGTTATAACTTTAAATGAGGTTTTAAATTTTTTTTCTTTCACTTAAAATATGGGTTGATATAGTGTACTGTTATCATAAGAATAATTACAATTCCTTCTAAACAATAAAATTTTGTTGCAGACTCCATGTTATCTTGTCTTCAATATTGACATATATGAATGCAATGTTTGCCAGCGATTCATGAATAAATGTGAGTTTTTGATTGGACAGAAGGCATCAATATTTCTATATTCTCCTGGTGCTAATAGCCATCAACAATTATTAATAGAAACTGCCAGGCAAATAACCATAAAACAGGTTGACAGGTGGACATTCATATTCGCCAGTCACAATAAAAGGATTCTTGCACCAAAATAATTTCATAACTGAATGCCAGCATCTTAATTTATACTCAACAAATGAATTATATCTGTTTCTTTATTTTATTGATGTATGTTGGAAATACAAACTAGTATAACTGATCTTCATGAAGGGAAATACAAATGCTAATGAACAATGGCACATTTAATGACCATATAAAGTAGAGACTAACTATTCATTTAATTGGAACTATTATTCAGGTTAATAAATTTTCAAATAATCATTATTGTAATCTAAAATACATGCACTAAACAAGTATTCAAGTTTGTTTCTTTTTTGGAGTAAAATGTGTTGGTGAGACAAATTTAATTTTGAAATGTTTTGCATTTACTAGAGTATCCGAATCAGCATGAAATATCTTATTGTATGCATAATTCTGCTTCTTTGAATCTGGCAACAGCTTTGCTTTTTGTATAATGTTTTCCTAAGCAAAGAAAGGATACATGAGTATGTATTTACAAACCAGGCAAAATGATAATTACTTACTTTGTAAAAATATAAATTTTCAAGTGCACTTCTAAGACATTTGATATTTGAGAGTTGTGCTGGAAAACTAAACATTAAACTCTCTAAACTATACATGAAGTCGAAATTAAAACCCAAAGTCAAAATGTTTTGACTTGAGGCAACTACATAGTAAAAATCAGTTTTGACCTTATTTCAACCAGATCTGCAATTAGTTTCAACTTCATGTATACTCTAAACCAAAATATAGACCATTATCCAAAAGATCAATTCCTATTATTTATTTATTTGTAATTTTTATTTAATTTTATAATAATAAAATTTTTAACACAAAAAATTTTTATGTCACGTGTTCTT